TTTTTTTTTTTTTTTTTTTTTTAAATATCACATTGCACAATCATGCAGTATCATCAAAATACTTTGGAGTTAATCCTCATTTCACTGAAAATTTAAAAACTTGGACCAGAAAAGCTAATGTCTGCACGTCTATAATAGATAAAATTATTATGATCTGCCAATGTCCAAAAGTTTTCAGTTTTACTGAAAAACAGAATTACTCCATAATAAACTACTTGCATCACATACTTGTGTTATGTCTTACAAACAACAACATTCTGTCAAACTTTCTCTTCTTTTCCTCCAAATTAACTATTTGCATTATAGATAAAATTACCTGCAAAGTAGGGATAAGTATCAGCATTGAAATAGAAGGGCCCGAAGCCAGGCGGCGGCTTGAAGGTCTGGTTGCTCATCATAAATCCAATTCTTGAAACCCCCGTCCGATTGAAATGGTCCTGCCCCGCCGGAAAAATCTGCAGGGTCAGCTGAAGGTAGTTTTCCATATTTCTTGTGGGGTTGCTGAGGGAGACCGAGTCCACCGGCTGGTGATGGGTCTGGAACGTCGACATAAGCCTCTGGCGCAGGGATTCGAATACGGTGGCGTTGCCGTAGCTGGAGAAGGACGGGGCTCGGAAGTAGAGGGCGCCGGAGTATGGGTACGCGCACCGGCAAGTGGGGCTTTGGATCCGATCGGAATTGCAGGAAGTGGGCGTGCAATTTTCAGGTGGGGTTTGGTATGTTGTGGTGTTGTTGGTTTGCGGAGGAATTGTGCAGTAGCTTTGCGTGGCTCCTTCATCGCAGATTGGGTTTCCGACCAGTCTGCACCAAAATCCAGTCAGTCAATAAAAGAGCCGGCGAACCTTAACTGGAGTAGTCTCTTGGTTCGGTTCTACTCTGCTATTCAATAAAAGAGAAAAAATTATACATTTTGTAACTACTGTTTAATTCTTTGTGAAAATTCTACTCTGCTATTCATATTATTTTCTTTCTTTTTGTGAAAACTTATTAAGGTACAACAATTGATTCAATTAAAATTCAATGTATCATCAAAGGTAAAAATATAGGTAAGCTTGAATTTTCTACAATTTTGAAATGGAAATTAAAAACAAACAAAACACTCGGCTGCATTGCATTTTTAGATTCTGATTTTCTGAAAAAATATTTTATGAAAGACTGCAGATGACTTCTACTTCTTTTTCAATTGCAAAAAAATGACAAGAAGAATTGAGACGATAGTCAGCTTAAAATTCAAAGCTTTCCTAACAGCCTAATCAGTGAAGAAAACACAAACTTACACAATTTGAACACTGGCATTGTAACCTGCTCGTTCAGTATACCCATCGACGAAGTTGTTCTGCAGATCAATACGTTGTAGTTGGGTGCTACGATTCGGGCCAATATTCAATGTCCCGTTAATTCGGTTGTTCTTCAATTCACTAAACCGGAAAAAAACACCAAAAAAAGAAAAGAAAAAGAAGATGAAGCAGAAGTTTTGAATAAAGGTAAAGTAGTACACACAAAAGCAAGTATTAATATTTATGAATAAATGAGTGCACATATAGCCCACACTTACACAGTCTGCAGTTGAGGAAGGCTGAACAAAGAAACTGGAAGTTGTCCTTGAATGCCTGCATTGTCCATTATCCTGCACAACATACACATGGTTTTTACATATTTCCAAAAAATGGGTCATGCATTTTATTTATTTAGGTCCCTTTAAGGTTCAAAATTATGAAACTTGGATCCTTTACGTTTAAAATTTGGTCGTATTAAGGCTATTTTTCAATACTTCACTTATTCCAAGGCAGAAAAAAAAAAGTTATTTTTCGACCAATGGAAACATAAAACACATAGAAACATACAATGTAGTCAAGGATGTCGAAGATAAGAGCCATGAAGGAACTTCTGTCGCATCAAACGAATTATTGCTCAAGTCCCTGCACAAATATGCATCATCCAAAATTTTTATAAACTATTTATTTGAAAAAAAAATAAAAATAAATCATGCATGATTTTGGACGGTCGAGTAAATTCCTTCTGTTTTGTTCGACTTACACAGAATGGAGCAGATTCATGCCTGTTAGATTGGGAAAAGGTCCTGTCAACCTATTGTTTGCCAAGGACCTAGGAAATATCCACCAGACGTATATATTTTTCATTCAAAACGAATTTCGAGCTTAATGTTATATATTTAAAAAAAAAGTGTACAGAAATTAGGATTCAAATTATCTGAAGTTTATTCTTACAGCTCCTGGACAGTGGTGAGGCTGTTGAGGTTATTCGGAACTGGTCCACTTAAAAAGTTTCTGTCGAGCCGTCTGTTCCGAATAAATTTTACACTTTGTAATTCAAATAAATTATAATTTGTGAATTCTTTTTAATAGGTATACAATTGTTACTTACAGAACCTCGAGAGACTGCACAAGTGCTAAAGACGAGGGAATGCGACCTGTTAGCTGATTGCCTTCGAGAAGCCTGCAGCTCCAATAGAGATTAGTATATTAAGCTGATATTTAGATATGATTGACCGTATGTTATTACAACGTATAATGCTGAATAGCAATGATAGTTTTGTAACCAAAATTAAAAAGTAAAAAAATAAGGTAGATAGTTAGGGGACCTACAGATGTATGAGAGTCATGTTTGAGTTGAACAGCTGAGATGGTATTTCACCCGACAGCCGATTGTTTCCAAAATGGCTGCACGAATTAGAAAAAAAAAATGATATGATTAATTAACACATGAAAATGCATTAATAAAAATAAAAAATCAAGTAAGTACAGAAGGTCGAATATGAATAGACATATATATATATATATTATATATGTACAAGTGGTTCGTTTTGAACAGCATGTCGAGCCCAGGAGTGGTTCCTGTTGAGACTGGGATACTTCCACTTAGCCTATTATCTGCTAAGTCCAGCCAATAAAGGTTCCGTAAATTTCCAATGCTAGCCGGTATCTCACCCACAAAGTTGTTTAAATTCAGAGACCTTCATAATAAAACAAGGAGAAAGAACAATTTTATAGGTGAAGGAATTAAGGTAGAAAAAAGTAAAAATAACGGGAAAAAAAAAAGAGAAGAGATCTTACAAGTAAACCAACTCTTGCATAGCCCCTATTGAAGGTGGTATTGGACCAGAAAATCCACAACCAACAAGTATCCTGCAAATGCATATAGCAAACAATTTTTGTTAATAAGATGCTGATCATGACTTTAGAGCTTCGTAAAATTTTCTTACAAGCTCGTCAACTTCTTCAAATTCCCGATTGCGGAAGGAAGGGCTCCGGTCAGGCCTCTGTTATATGATAGATCACTGTGCAAAAGAAAATTATGGCCAGAAGAATACTCATTTTGTTCATAATCACAGCATGCTAAACAAAATGACGTAAAACTTCAACACTCGAATGTCTATAAGAAGTATAAAAAGGTTAAAATAAATAAATAAATAAATAAATAAAAACTTACAGAATCTGCAGCTCGGATAATTCTTTGATGTCCGACGACAGCTGACCGCTTATATTGAAGCTGACTAATGTGCTGACACAAGATATATAAAGGATTAGACACATACAAACCAGTTAAATTTCAAAAGTTTTCTTCTTTTCTTTCTTTATATGTTACACAATTAAAAATAGCAAATACTTACATCGTAACAACACGATTATTAGCATCACAGTTGATTCCATCCCATCCATTATTTCCACAAGGATCAGCACCATCCCAATTGGGAGGTACATTTTCCCATACATCTTTTAGTGACTTTAGAGCAACAACTGCAGATCAAATAATGATTTCTTCTAGAGTTAAGACCATATAAAGCCCTTAGACTGTACATAAAATTCGAAAAATGAAAGTTTTGCCTTACACAGATCCTAAAAGAATATCAAAGATTTATCAGAAGTTGAGGCTCATAAAAAAATGCCTGATCCAACAACCGAAAAATTTAAACAAATAAGTAAAAATAAACTTGAAATTGCAAGGCCACGAGTCGAAATCAAACGATTTTTTATTGTTTATTTTTTTATTTTTATTTTTTACAGTGAAGAAAAAAGACAAACTTCAAATTTGGCATCTGTAACAAATTTGTCAAGAGAAAAACTAAAAGTTTCAGAATTTTGAACTAATTTTTCCTCATAGCCTATAACTATAAGGAGTGTGTTTTTTGTTTTTTTCATATATACATCTTTATGCTATCACAAACAGTACTAATTAAATCTTTTAAGCATCTTCTACTTCTCCCCTGCCTTTACAACTACAGCAAACACTAACATAACATGTATGTTGATAGTTTTTTTTTTTTTTTTTTTTTTTTTT